GTAAATACACTTACTTTAAGACATTTTCACAAATTTATAGATAATTTTTGTAGTGTGTTATTGGAATCCAGGACAAGAACTAATTACCTTTGTAAGATTAAAAAAAATATGTATATTTTGATGGCATAAATTAGTGCCAATGTAATAACAAGAAACGCCAACTTGCCCGTATATATTAAGAAAAATAACAAAAGTGCTTCTAAAAGAAATTCATGAAAAACACTCTGAGAATAAAAGAAATGGCACTCCATTTGTAAGGGGTATGTATGCAAGTGATCAAAAATGGTAACTTGGCCTATAAAGGATTTAAATCTTGTTTGTTTTTTGTTTTTTTGTTTGTTTTTTCAAAATAACAGAAGCCGAGAGCGGTCGCACTCGACATAACTGTCTCGTTATCACGGTTAAACAATTCATAATTTTCTCAAGATAACGAGATAATTCTCATTATCAAGAGAAAACAGTTATTGAATTCTTCAGATAATGAAAAAATTAACACATTTTCTGGAAAAAGCATCAGAGGGAAACTTCCGCTCTCAGCTTCTATACAAAATGATGTGAATATCAGGCAGCTCATTGATGACGACATGATGTCAAGTTTGATATACTTTAAGCTAAACTCTGCGCCTGTTCTGATCGCTGGGAAACAGTTGCTGTGTTCAAACCGTTGACCGTCTGAACTCTGTGCCTCTTCCTCCACTCAGCAGCTCATTTCTCTCTCTTCATCCTCTTCAATCTCAGCTTTCTGCATGCTCTAATTAATGAACTGCAGCATAATTAGTCTAATTTTGAGGATTTTATTTCTTTCACCTCCAGTTGGCTTAATACTTTATCTAATTTCTATCAAAGAAATCCCTACATTATATCCAAGGTGAACATTTTAATTGTCTCACTGTTTATTTCTATATACATAAATATTGCTGGGATATTTCTGTCTTTAATTTCTGTTCTATCGATCAAATGACCATGTTGGTTTCTGTTATTATCATAAAAATGATGCCATTGTGCGGCGCCCGGGGAGCAGTGTGGAGTTAAGGTTCTTGCTCAGGGACCCAGAGTGGCAGTGGGGACAGAACGCCAAGCTCTATGCCCCCACCACTAGGCCACTACCCCCCTACAAAAAATGGCGTCCCTGGGTGGGCTCGCACCACAGCCGAATGCACAACCGATTGTGCCACAGAGATTGTGTATAAGGATCCCGCTACGTCTCGCACATGAAGGAAGGGCGCTACCATTTGAGCTTATTCCCCTCACAAGGTTGTATACAGTAGCAGCCATTCAAAATGGCTCTTCTCAGTCTACAGCCAGCAATATCCCCTCCAACCTGCAGCCGCTGGCCTTCTCCTGGGCGTGCATATTTTTTTACTCAGACTCCACTCTGAATTACAGGATCTGATCAGGAGTGGATGCTTCTCTTTAGATCTTAACGTCCACAAATCATGACAGAAAGAATATTTTAGTACAAAGATTGATTAAAAAAGGAATTGAAGGGGACCAGCAATGGAAAGTGGGGAAATTTTAGAGGTCTGCTACCGTAGGTTCTAAACAGTTAGCATCTAAATGGAAAACTTTGTTCAGAAAAGTTGGAAAGTTTACTTCAGAACTGTATAAGTAGTAGTTCTGAGTAAAACTGTTGCAGAAATATTACCGCAAACATAAACAGGGAATTTAGAAAATCATAAAACATTAAAAAGGAAGTTATTCGGTGTACAAAATGTTTTTGTATTCAGCTAAAAGAATGCTTAGTAGTTAGTTTTCAGTAACGTTTGATGTTTTTGGTGTGTATGAATTTGGCAAAATAAGTCAGAAAACTATATCAAGACAAAAAAAAATCTCAAAAAAGAGCTCAATGTGTTTAAATAGTCTACGATGAAAAAAGCAATAAGGATATAAGAATACAGGGAACTAAACATCTTACTGGGGGGAATTCAGTTTCAATTAAAAGGGAGAAACAGTTTTTAATTCCTGAGAAAGACTTGAAGTCTCTCAGAGGGTAAATATGTGAGTTCTTATGAAGTCCATGGTTTGCTGTATAAAAGCCTTTCTTTGTTCAGAGTGATTGATGCACTCTCACCGTACGGTTCTCATGTGTGTTTTGTTGTGATTGCGTGGGTGAGACTGTGCCTTCATCCATCAGGGCTTATGATGTGGTCAAAGTTCGTGAACTCATTAATGCGCACGTGACTGAAACAGGGAGGCCAGCAGTACTGTAGTTTGACCGTTTTCTAATCGGCCACCTGATCAAACAGCTGCTGGCTTCCATTTATCAGCGTCGGTAAAGGCTTTTCAGACACCGTGGCCTTTATCTCCGCAGGAGAACATGTCTGCCATTATTCTTTTTAACTCAATGCTGGTTTTTTAACTTTTAAATTATGTGCAACTTGTGTTGCTAATCTCCAGGAAACTTCACATTTCTGTTAGGATTTGGAGAAATGAAAGCAGGTGTAGATGGATGGCTTTTCAGCTGCCCTTTTAGCCGCTTGTCGAGGAACATCTAGCGGTGGAGTGTGTTTGTTCTGCGCTCGTCTGTGTTGTGTTTCACCGGCTCTCGGGGATAATAGAGAGCCCATGTGCTTTTTGACCTCGACCTGCAGCAAAAGAGCAAAACCAAACACACCTGTGGCATTCAGGGGCCTGGGCTTTTCATCCACGGATATTTGTACTTCCAAAAACACCAGGAATCGGAATACCGTCCACAAAAGACACCTTAGTGTAGCTTTGGGAGTTTTATATCGGATCTTTTAGAGGACTTTTGGAAATGATGAAGATTTTTGGATGAAAACGTTTGTGATAGACCAACCAAGCCATTTCTTTTCAGCCTTCTTTTGTTTTCCGTGCCCGCCCACTATTTGCACTTTGGACCGATAATGGCCGTCACCGAGTGATTGATTGTCTGTAGTGGAGGATATCTAATCAGAGCTAACAGGGTCAATGCTAATAATGAGCACTTAATGACCCAACAGACAAAGCAGAGTGAACCCTGCTCACATTTTTGATAGCGTAGCTTAGAGACTGCATATCAATGCTTTAAAAATAAAGATGAAGGTCATATTTTAGAAACATTTAAAGGTTATTTATATGACTTCCCTCCCAGTTATTAAATTCCAGCAAAGTGTGGAACGTTGGTATTTTTTCCTCTCTGTCATTTGCATACCAGTTCATGTTTTTCTTCTGGTTGCCGATGATTCACTCAGATGTTTGGCTTGGACACGTCGCAGCACAGCTTTTGGGTGGAGTAGGATAACTGTCAAGCCAGATTTACCCAACTTGTTTTCCGTTGTTTTTTTTATTGCTCTGCTTTGAACTCGTTTCACAGATTCTTTTGTCATCATCCCTTCCTCCCCATGCAGGCCTGTTTATTGCAAAACCAGTGGAACGTGTCTAGTTTCATAGAATCAACATTAAAGGTACAATGAGGGTTTGCAACAGTCAGAAAAAAATAATTTTATGCTCTTAAATTGAGGCAAACTTAACGTCATTTTTTAGGAAGTCTTGATTTCTCCAAACTTGGTACACCAGTTCCTAAGCAAGACGCTGCCATCACCGTGCTTCACAGATAGAGCAGTGTTCTAGGCCTCTCCTCTACACACAAACGATGCCTGTTTTTATTATGGCCCAATAACTCTGTGTCTAACTTAGCTCACTCTGCACCTTTTCTCCAGAACATTCTAAAATGAGTCTAAAATGATTAATCTTACAAAAGTTTTTGGCTTTTTCTGACCACAGTACTGTGCTACGAAACCAGCTTCAAAGAGTCAATGAGTCGATGCAATCAGCTGGTTTTCCTTAGATAGAAAACTTTGAATCAATCTGACTGGATGATCTGGTGAACTGGAAAGTGACCTGATTTTAATTGGAGCTATAGAAATAAACTGAATAGAATTTAGTTGAACTGTTCTTGCAGTTTCCAGTTAATAACAGACCTGAGCCTTACTGGTGATTCCTGGATTATAGAAATTATAGATATTTTTCTGTGGCAGCAGAAACTTAGAAGTATCTTTAAAGTAAGCTGAAAAAACTCGCCTCAGATATCCACTTAAAAAAAAGCAAGGATTAATTTAAAGATAAAATGATTCCAGCTCAGACCGGCTATGAACTTTACTTTTCCTGCTGTAATATATGACTGAATAAAGCCTCTTTGTTTTATTCTCTGACCAATGCTGTGAAACTATGCAATTAATGGAAATACATCTTGGCTTTCTAGAACATAATTATTATTATTTCACCTATTCAAATACTTATAAGAACATTTACCTTGTCTAACGATGACACATTGTAAATAAGGGAGGGACTATCCTTTGGAAACAAAAGCAGGCTGTGAGTAAAAGTCAACTTTTTTATGATTGTGATTTGCAGGTAGGGAAAGGATGTGATTTTCCTTCTATGAAATAATTAAAAGATCTAAAGAGCTGGACTCTAGCAGCATCCATCGCTCCATTTGAACTGAAGCGGTTAAATATGTGGTTCAGATCTACAAAGCTTGGAATGAAAATGCTTCATTTTGGACATAATGTTAAAGACATGCTAACCAGAAATATGTTTATGTTATTTGATCTGCTAAGGAGACGGCACATGTAGACCGGTGTTCTGTCAGATGAGCATACGCGGTCAGACCAGCATACCCATAGTCAATACCCGTTCCTCCCTTTAGTTTTTCCCCTTAGTTTTGTACGAAAAATAGACTTTAAACTATCTTAGCAGGAGTGTATCGTTTTAGTCATGTAAAACAAAACAATTTAATTATTTACGTTTTGGTGTTTTTTCAAAGCGTATGCCGATCTGACCTCAAATAGGTGTTTTTTTGGTACATGACTAAGTTTGAAGTCTATTTTTCGTACAAAATTAAAGGGATAAACCCAAATCTAAGGTCTCTGACAGAGATCCTAAATAGTGGGATCAGGACTTGAGTTTTCTCACAGTTCCTCTGCTCGTAGCATTTCTAGCTCTATCTAACGTCCTGCAGCGTGCTGATGACCCATCCTCCTCTCTCTCTTCTCTTCCAGGTGAGAAACCGTACCGCTGCACGTGGGAGAACTGCGACTGGCGCTTCGCCCGATCAGACGAGCTCACCAGACACTACCGCAAGCACACCGGGGCCAAACCCTTCAAGTGTGTGGCCTGCAGCCGCTGCTTCTCGCGCTCGGATCACCTGGCTCTGCACATGAAGCGCCACCAGAACTAGTTCCTGACTGTTTATAGATCCAACCTAAAACAATCTGACACATGTACAGAGCAGCATGCATGCATGACAGCCATCTCTCTGGAATCTGGTGCCTCGTCTGTTGGGGAGGGAGGTTGATTTTTATCTTAACAGCACGAAAACACTCCAAAGAAAGCCTAGAGTACCAAAGGACCTGAACTGATTTCTAACATCCAGGTTAATCACTTTATTGATCGATCTTCAGTAAACGTCACTTCAAGGTTTCAAGAACGGACTCCAAAATCTGAATGTCTTGGAAATCTTTATTTTTTTTTCCTTTCCTACAAAATGACTTTTTCCACCTTTCAGCTCTGCGAGGTACGAACTTTCAACGAGACGTCCTGCCTGTGTACATACTTGTGCATATGTTTGTGTGTTTTTGAAAAAATACAGCGAATGTATTGAGATTGATACTTGACACTTATTTTCCCGCTGAACGTGATCCTACATAATTTTCCACATTGTGACTTCCTTGTGATAAAAAGCCGAGCCGATGGCCCTAAAAACGGGACGAAAAAAAAATAAAAATGCAAAAACAGCCAAGAGACGAGAAGGCAGCTCTCCATGAAGGAGTTAATCATCAGCTCGTTATGCCTGTTTCAGTGCAGGTAATACCTGTCCAGCTCAGACAGCAGCGCCGCTCGCCATTGTTTGTTGTCCTCACCCCTGTTGCCCCGGCAACCGCTTTATGGCTTCCCCTCTTTTTTTCAGTGCATGTTTTGTTCTAATTCTCCCGGTATTTATTTAACACTTGAGCTCAGGAACGATAGACGCAGGTGGGTGGGGCTTTTTATGTAATCAGGTGTGACTTTCTGATTGGTTTAATGCACCATGTGGCAGAAAAATCCCATTCAGGCAGTTAACGTTCAATCGACTGTATGACAGAGGATCAGTGATGCCTCTGCAGCTTTTAAAGACGCTTTCATGCAGCAGATTAGCTTCAGGGTTTCTGAGCCGTCTAGTGAAATTAGTGGAATTTTTCTTTTTGCGATGTATTGATTAAAGAGAACAAAGCAGCTTTTGCATGTGCTCTGATTTCTCCCATTGAAGCTGAAGGTTTCCTTCATGGAGGCTGACTGTCTGCTTGGTTCGTTTAAATGAATCCCCTCCTGTTATTTCAGAGTATGATTGTTCTACTTTTACCATTTGTTTTTATTTTGTCACCGAGGAAGAAAGTTCTCCCGTCTCTCTCCTAGAGGGGGCGCTGACCGCCCACTGTGTATATAAGCGTAGTTCTAGTTTTAACGGAAGACTCTGTAAATATTGCTATGATAATATTAATATTGTTTTTTTTTACTAACGGGATTTTAGATTGGTTGTTCGAATGAGTTTAATTTTTTGTTTTGATACCTAATGTGTGTAAGAAAATTACCCGATTGTTGATGCAAATTTGATAAAATTTCTGTTTTTGTTTTTTTTTTCAGTTTGGTGCAGCAGTGATGCTGCAATGAAATAATAAAAGAAGTTTGAAACTAATACTCCTTTTCTAAATCATTTGAACTCTCTGCTAGAGTCATTTACTTTTTTAACAAATTTATATATATATATATATATATATGTTAAAAACTTAGAAATAAACAACATTGCCCTCCAAACTTAATGCTAAAAAACCATAAAACCTTATAAAGTTTTAAGAAAACTACAAGCTAAAATTTTTATTAATAGTTTATTTTTAGAAAATGACTTGTGCCGCACGTCCTCCTGCTGCCCTGTTAAGCCAACCAAGAAGATTTTATAAAGTTTGAGTAGAAATTGGATTTTAGATAAATTTCTCTAAAGTTGTCACCAAGAAAGTGCAAAAAAGTATGTTTGATTTGCTAAATTAAAAAGAAAAACTAAGCATGCGACATTTTAAAGAAAATACTCAGGATCGTTTTTGTCTGTTTTAGTTTGTTTTTTTTTGCAGGAAATTACTGTGTAATTTTTTTTATCAACAAAACTTTAAAAAGTTTCAGCCCTTTTGCCTGGAAAGGCATCAAATTTGAAAACTGCTTTGGGCCTGATTTAAAAAAACATTTTGCTTCCAGTCTCAGCAGCTTAAACAGGGTCTGCTTAACTCTTTCTTTAAAAAGGCTTTAAGAGAGTTAGAAAGGTTAAACAAAAGGCGATTTGAGATAAAAGAAAATTCTACTCTTCAGTAAAAGTCACTACAAAATTTAAAGGGAAGGAAAAAAAGTGTTTCTCTGTAGGATTTTTATTAGAAATAAATAATCTCCATCAGCATTAATCATGTGAGTTTGTATAACTCCTGAAATGCATTTAGAAATCTTTTTTTTAATCATCGTTTATTGAAATAACATTTAAAGACTTTTCAATAATTGCATTTCTCTTCTTCCTCTTTTATCATGTCTGTAACATTTCCTATAAAAGGTTTAAGGCTTTATTTCTGGGTTAATAATTTATTCACATTATTTCCATTCCAGCTTTGCAGGTTTGAGATGATCCGTTTGTGTTTGCGTGCTGTGAAAGTTTACGCCGCTGGCGAACCGGTGCTGCAGGGGGACAAAAGTGCATGATGTTCTGACAGAACAAAGGAGTCAACAATTTAACCTGAAGAGTAATTCAGGACATGTAGATCTTAAGCAACAAAGGGTGGAGCTGCGTCTCTCTCTCTGCTGGCAGATAAAGCACAAACATTAGGTTTATCATGAGATGATATCAGTCTGATCATTGGGACGAAGCTCTACATCTATATCCTCGCTGCATAACGAGGAAACTGATGGAAAAAGTCCATTAACATTTAAAATACCTTAAACTCTAATAACAGCAAACTTTCTAGCAGAGCGACAAAAAAGAACTTTATCTATTCTGTCTCAAATGGAAAAACTTCCATACATTGATTTATCAAAAATAATTACAGTCACAATCAATAGTTTATTCCATATTAAAGAACATTTAAAATCAGTGCATAAAAACAAAATGGTAGCAAAGTCTGTATGATTTTAAAATATTGTTAAAAACTTCCTTTAAAATTCTGCCTTATTTAATCTGATACTTCTAACTAAAATCCAGTTCTACCTTATTTCATTCTATCTGATTTGTAACTAAAAAACGGCTGAAATAAAAGGCAGCGGGACTTTAACTCAGTTTTTATAAAAGAGGTTTCTAGTCCTACCAGGAGACTTTGTCGATTCTGCACTGGAAAAACAATCTAGAAATAGGTAAAAATGCCTTAAATTAAGTGTATTTACCCTTAATTTGAGTTGGTAAATAAGATGATCCGCCAATTTAATGAGTATTTTTACTCTTAAAATAAGATATTTAGATAAAATGCACTTGAAATAAGACAACGCAATTGTGTTTTCTTATTTTAAATGCAAATTGTCTTGTTCCATTGACAAAAGGTCTGTTTTACCTCCTTAATCCAAGAACAAAGGCACTTTTTTTGAGAAAAAATGACATCTTGATTTTTATTTTTTCCAGTGTATCATCTCACATCTGATTAGCAATTACATATCTGACCCACCATCTTTTAAACATGGAAGAAGGATGCACCGACTGCAGGCCTACGAAGACGTGGAGGAACGCCTGCTGACAGGGGGGGACAAAGGGGTCAAATGTCCCGGGCCCAGGACAGAGAGGGGCCCAAAATTAACACTCTGACCATTAAAAATACAGGCAAATTATTTGTGATAAAAACATTTAATATCAAATTAAATATATATATATATATATATATATATATATGTATTAGGTATATGTAATATGTTTTCTGTAGATAAAGGGTAATTAGAACTCCCCCCACCCAACTTAAAATGGTTAACCAGGACAACGCGTGGCTGCAACTTTAACAGTTTGTTTCGCTGCAAACTAAGAATGTCAGGTTTTCAGAAGTCTGGCGCACAGGAAAAAAAAGAGAAAAGGGAAGATAACACCAAAGGTTGGAGGGACTTTAGGAGTAAATATTAAAAATAAAGTAAAGAATAGTCAGGAACAGGTCCAGGAACGGAATAGCAGAAGACTGTTGCCCATTCAGAGCCAGAGAAGAAGCAATGTGATTTTAAAGTATAGCATCTGCTAGCTAGTGTAAGGGAGAAAAACACATTTTATTTTACAGAAATACTTGAGCTTAGCGCCAGAAAAGCAGAAAGATGGCAGAGGTCCAGGTGCAGAGTGACAGAGCGAGCGGAGCAGGGAGCTTGGTTAACAGAGAGAAAAGAGGAGCAGTTTTCAGGTGTTGGGGGGGCAAAAGACCGTGTTGTCCCGGGCCCTAGCAAAGCTGTCAGCTGGCGTCCAGCATGGATGTCCACCAAAACCGACAGGAGGACAGATCAAGAAGGAGTCAAGGGATCCACCTTAACTCTGGAGGAGCTGCAGAGATGCACGGCTCAGTGGATCTTCTGCTGAATCTTCATCATCGCTTCAAGAGTCCAGCAGAAGACAAACATGCAGCGGCTCTTCATCCTGAACATGATGTCTTACATGGTGAAAGATGGTGAAAGCGACATAAAGCATTTCAGATGCTGGTTTTCAGTAGTTTGTTTCCTGATTATCGTTGTTGTTGTTTGTGAATGTAGTTCTGCATTTGGTTCATTACTTAGTTTTAGTCTTCATGATCTCTATAATTCCTTTTGTTAGTTTTTTCTTATTAATTTTAAGTGATATATCTGGCGTTTCTCATTTATGCCTGATTGTGTTTCTTCTTCTAATGTTTTCTGTCATTTATTATATTCCTGGTTTTCAAAGCTTGTCTTTTTCTCTCATTCCTTACTGGATTTTCTTATTTATAACTCATCTCCTTCCTCCTCCCATGTTTTGTTTCCCTCTTCCTGTCTCAGTTTAAGTTCTTTATAAACTTATACCTCCGTATCATGACACTGCCACAGTTCTCCCAGATGTTGGGTCTCCATCAAATACAAAATATTACACATCTAGTTTCTATTCTACTGAAAAGTATTGGCTCAGTCTGCAGCCCCTCAAAGACACTTTAAAGGAAAAGTCCGGTCAGCAACGAATCATCAATGGATCATTATTTATGAATAAAACTAATGCGTTCGCAGTGATTTAATGAATTTAGCGTTAATCAGTAAAAAAATAAAAACAATTTTCATCGCGATCACTGAGTCTGGGAGCGGCCATTTATGTCCAAATATAGTAGCCCCTCCCTCCTGCCATCTTCCAGCAGTGACGTCACGGTGCGGTAAGCCTAGCGCCATTCTCCCCGCTTTCCAAGCTAAATCAATGGGAACTACTAGACACATCTGCAATCAACAACAATTATTGAAGATTTCCAGAGGACTTCACCATTGAAATTCACCAGAGCTATAGTGAAACTGACAATGCCCACGTGCATGGCAGCTGGATGCTGGAATACATCGGGTAAAAGTGAAAAAAAGAGTTATTCCACCTTTCTGATTCCTGATCCTCCACGGACGGGTTGGTCGTTGGATCGCCAACTTGAAGAGGGAGGATTTGCCATCGAACTTCTGGCCAGAGAAAAAACCCATAATATGTAGCCAACATTTGGAAGAAGAATGTTTTCAAGATGACTTGGATAATAGCGCGTTGTGACAAACACCAGATACAGCACTGGGACTTGATCAACAGCCGATACCGCACCGTGACAATGTCACTAACCAGTAGGTGGCAGTAGTGTTCTTTGACAAACATGGATGCCTCCAATAAAGCACATTCACATGAAAATTACTCTGAATTAAAAACACTGATGATTTATTGAACAGGATGGAATCATTTCACATTTAAAGAACTTTCAGAATTTGAATTCTGAATGTGAGCGACTTTTCCTTTAACTACTAGGCTATCGCTCACACTCATATATATGTCCTATTTGGAGTGAAAATGATGCTTTTCTCTCTTTAATTGCATATTTTCTAGCAGGCAGAGCTTTGACTACAGGCACTCCGATGACTCACCTGCTTATCTGCAGCCATCAGTTGCTCTTCCATTTTCTGCTCAGGTACATTTTCTTCAGGATATTTTTTCACCTGGAGGCCTGGTGAAGCTGACAGCACAGCAAATGCTTCATTCCACTTGCTGCAGTAAATCTCCTGTTAAAACTTGTCCAACTGCCTGAAGTTAACTGTCTCTTGGAGGAACAGAAAAGATTTAAACTGGTTTAAAAAGCCATAAGCTACTTCCACCAGTCTTCCGGGTTCTTTTTGTTTAAGGAACAAGACTTTTTTTATGTTATGCTGTATAATTTTATAAGATTTCACCAAACTTGAGCATTACCATGTTATTCTAACATGTTATTCCCACAGGTTTATTAGAT